GAAATCGGACCTAGTTCTGTTCTATTCAGCGGGGAGTTCGAGTTAGCGGAGGTTCTACTGTATTTTAGTTCTGAAGTGGGGAATTATTATCATTATAGACTGAAGATTAGCTAAATTTGCCACTAGTTTGGAATACGGTGTATAACGCATCTGTACGTCTCCCAGCGAATCCACTCAGCGTACTCTTGTTAGAACAAAAGAATCAACGCCTGTCGTCGTTTATACAACTCACGGAAGTGCGTGTCCGTTAGCAAACTTAAGGGACTGGCCTTGGTCAAAAGGTGGTTAACGCTGTCCAACAGAGTAGTCTCCACCCACTGGATAAAGCATTGGTGTTCACTTATGCATACTTTGTATACTCTGGACCCACTGGATTGACGAAGGGAAAAACGAGTGGGGACTGGATCGAAAGGAAACTCTCGCCTTGGCCCCAGTTCCCTCTCGTTTTTACGTCGGTTTTCAAGAACTTTTTGCACTGAATTCTGTACATGTTCTTGCTCAAAGCGGGTAACATTTTTCTTGCTTCCGGTGCCAGAACAACTCTTTGTAAAATAGGCCACAGGAGTGAAAGTATGCTTACATGTTTCGAACATTTTCTTTCTTTTATTCAGATTGTCTGAAATTGAGGAAGAACTTCTTGAGCAGAACAACCTAACGGTGCACGTGGACAGCTGACGTGGAAGATGCGAGAACAGAAATATGACCGGTTGACTGAATGGATTCAAGTGTGGATTACGTAGCGTTCAACCGATAAGTACTGATATTTTAAACTATGTTAAACATCCGTTTCTTCTCGCTCTTCGCCGCTGGGGACGTTTCACGCGGAGGAACATCTGCGACTCACCGACAGAAATTCCACACTGACGACGTACAGCGACGTAAAAGCTGTCCGGAATCCGGTCAGAAGAGCTGATTGGTTGACGGAGTAGTTACTTTGTTTTAGCTATTGTTTACGAATGACAGACAAAAAACAAAAGGCCACAAAGGTCAAATGTAAACGCGAATAATCTCTAACGAGAAAACAGTCAATATGTGTGGAATATAGTCTTCTCTAGAAGAAGCGTTTGAGGTTTTACTGGAGCTTGTTGGCAGATGGACACAACACTTTACCAAAATCGACCAGAAGACGCGAAAAATTGGACAAATTTATATTTGGAACCCCACGACTACCAGATTTATTAGGTAAACATTGATTTGCGTCATCAGTATGGAATTTCTGCCGCTGAGACGCAGACGTTCCTCCGTGCGAAACGTCCACAGCGGCGAAGAGCGAGGAAAAACGGATGTTTTCACAGGCTAATACTATCAACGTTACATATAATTTAAAAAACAACCACGCAACTAAGTCAAACTCTGCAGACTGCCATCTCTTAAAATGCTGTAAGTCTCAGTGTAAGTCAATAGAGACTGGTATCAAGGACAGTTGCACCGCTCTCGTTTTGTGTCTCAATTTTCTCAAATGGAACTCTATATTAAAGCAAGAAATCCACTTGAGTCAAAGTGCATAATTTTGACGTGCCCTTCTTGCACCAACAACACCACTTAGTGACCGATGCCAGCAACCGATGCGGCTGAAAATGTTGAAATAGTGGCCTAGAAAATGCAGCTAAATTCAGAATTTTTCCTTTTCATCTCTTAATTTCAGTGTTAGTAAAAGAAAAGTGGCTTTTAAAAAATTGCTTTAAGACCCCAAACCGTCCATAAACAATGATGACCAATGATGGACCCTATTGTAGCCAGCCAACAAATATGGACACACTATTGGTAATAGTCAATTGACCATAAAATTATTTGGGACACTTTTACAGTCACATAACAGCACTTTAATTTATTTCATGTCAACCTTTGTAACATATCACGATAAAATAACTAAATTTAAGCTTATAATCACTTACGAATAGATATTAAATTATAAATTATCACAGAATATGACACTTAGTGACGGACTCTGTGGAAAACATGAGTTAATTTTTGTGAGGTGAAGTCCAGGGAAACAAAATTAATTACTTTCCTGAGGGCTCAGTAATTTGTCATATAGCATATATAAGGAAAAACTTTCACAGGTGAAAGATTTATGAAGGTAAATCTAAACTAAAACTCAACATTTTGTGGGTTAGATCGGGCCATTTTACCAATTAACATAAAAAAAGGTTTTGTTGGGAATAACAGACCATAAGGTGACAGTAACCCAGAGAAAGCAACTTCAATGTACTCTTGTCGTGACATTTTCACCAACCAGTATATTTTAAGAATGACTTTGGCACAAAACAAGGGCGGATCCAAGGGAGGGACCTGGGTGGCCCCCCCTATTTTTAGACCAAATTGAGGCCCGAAGGGCCCAAAAAATTTTTTTTTGAGCCTGGACCCCTCTTCTCTCAGGGTCTAGATGACTGCCCCCCCTCTTCTCCTGGATCCACCACTGCAAAATTAGGGAGTTGCTTGCTCCAAATTATCGGCTCCTGGTGGGAAACAGTTTTTTTTGTATGTCATGTTACCTCACATAGGCCATTTGCACTAAGAGGTCATGTGACATTGTTTTTTTGAAAATGAAAGTCATATGATTTACCTTCGAAAAACGATTTAAAGTGGGTCTTGTTTTAAACAAAATAATTATTGTGATTTGGTTTTTGAAACCAGTACCATTTTCTTAAAATGAGTTAGTTCATAGCTGGTCACATGATCAAAATGTGATTTTTTTAATATTATGAATTACCTCTTTCTGAACACAAACTGTGCACTTAAACTATCAAGGAGAATATTGAAAAGATGATGTGGTTACATTTACAGCACATCTGAGTGTAACTATCAAATGTTTAACAAGGTAAAGCAAACAGTAGTTTTGGCCGCCAAGTTGAAGGGCATACTATTTTGTTGAAGAAATCAAAGTGCCACAAAATATCTCCCTTAAATGTGCTTCCTCTCAAGTTTGGGGTGTAAGATAATTTTTATTTGCTCTGTCAATTTTTTGCATCAGCCAGGCTTCAACTAATAATTTGTTTAAAGAAAGCATTTGTCATGTGACATCTTAATGCAAGTGGCCTATTTGAAAGAATGGGCTGCTGGACAAAAATTTCAGCTTATAGAAACAAAAATATGTATATTTTAAAAAACTAAAATCATAATACAGATCTAAATAATTTAGATATATTCTACTACCAATGAGAAGTCCAAGAGAACTACTAATTAGTGAGTAGTTAAATCCCGGGCAAAAATAAATTACAGATGTTTGACTGACTCTTGCTACTGAGAGCACAGACTTGCAGCCCAAATAGTAACTCTATCAAGAGAACCGACAGTAACACCTAAAGTTATACTTATGGTAAAATAAGTAAAAGAATTCTGCTATGTTTTGTTATGCTAGCGGTCATTTAAAGCAAATATATTTAGCATTTACTTGCCTTATATAATATCATTTACAATAATAATGACTACATTATGAAACACTCCCACCATTTTCAGTTTAATATATTTTATAATCTGTAGGTACAGTTGATTCTCGATAGCTGGACCCTTCAAGGGAAATCGAAAACAGTTTGAGTTATTGGGAGTTCAAAGAAAATAATGAGAATAAAGGAAATGGGATGGGGGAGGAATGCAAGGAGCATGCACACTCCACTTCAATTAGGGCCACAAGAGATATATTGATATTTTAACAAATAAATTAGGCAACAAAGCTTGATTAATCACTACAGTGCTAAACATTGTGATTTGAATAATATTATTGGACTAACAAAAAATTAAAGACACTTAAAGACAAAGAATACAAGGTTGTTTTGATAGAAATTCAATGTTTTGGACTCCAGTTTACTGCCGTTTTTTGACTTGTCATGCGCTTAAAACCTGGTTTGAATTAATGGTCTGAATTATTTGAATTATTGAGGGTTCAAGTTTCCAAGGGTAAAATTACAGTAAATGTATGAAGGAAATCCAGAGGAAATTGATAATTATGGTTTGAGCTAGTGAGGGTTCAAGTAATCGAGAGTCAACTGTACTTTTTTTTCTAGAATATAACATTAGATGATTTCTATATTATAATTCATAACATATACTTTTTAAGCTGTCTTTATATACTATAATTTATTTTCAGGTATCTTATAATTCATAATTCTTGAAAAATAGATATATATAATTATGATTCAATAAAATAAAGACTAAAGATACAAATTAAATCATATAGAATAAATAAAATAGTGATATGGTGAAAAAACTCTGCAAATCAATTAAGCAAGCAAAAAATTTTAATGCAGAGTCAATCTTAAGGCATGTCATGCATGAGGTTCTAGGTTTAGATTCACTCCAGACGAAACCCGACAATAATTTTTTGACTGATCACTTAATTGAATGTTATATAAGCTTTTTTACTTGAAAAGCTAGAAAATTGACCATGAATTATTATTATTTTTTTAATATATGCACTTTTGATACAGGCAAAACAATGAACATCTCTTTAGCTTAAAATTTCAGACAAAACCAGAAAATAGAAAGATGCTACCAAATTTGAAATAAAAACTGCTTAAATATCTGTCATCAGCATTTTTTTTTAACTTAACACTGCTAATAATATCATGGAAGGCCAACGCAAGATTATATAATAAAAATGTATAATGATTTTTCCTATTTGAGAGTTTGGGTGCTATTAGAACCAAGAGGAAATAGGACACTTCCTGAGATATATCATCTTCATAATACATTTGAACCCTGTAAAATGATGACCACTGTGCCATGAAAACCTTCATATGCTATAACGTTAGGATAAGGCTGTTTTGACTAATTGATAATCTGCCAGTTAATAGTCCAGTTTCAAATTAAAAATTACCACTGAATACAAACATTAACGACACATTCATACAGGGTTAGCCTCGATGTAAAATAAAATATTCAGAAATTCTGGCAAGTAAGTGTTTGAAATTTGATTATACACAATAGACAGAGTAATAAACAGGTCTTTTTCTCGTTAGAATTTGTGAATATATTACTTCAGATGGAGGCTAAGGCTGTAAAAAATGCGTCTTCACTTCTTTAATTTAGCGGTCATAGCAAACTCGAAAATGGACTATTATCACACAATAACTATTGAACAATCAATCAACAAATATTAATAATAAACACTTAGTGACTGGTCCTGAGGGAAACAAAAGCAACTGTTTTCCAAGGGACTGGTCTTTAAGTGAATTGTTACAGTATAAAGCTGGAAATTCATGAAACCTGGCTGCAATGGTGGTTGTCAGTTAACATTCGCAGGTAACAGTGCACTGTTACCCTGTGATGTCATAGATTTTGCAATGTTCCCTGCTCAGAGATGTTGGCAAGAAACAGTTTTATTGTTAGATGTCGTGTGACCTCAAAGTAACCAATGAGAGCCTGTAATATAACTTTGTATTCACTGACTGCAATTCCAAACTATGTTTGCCACATCCCTGCATGAGAATGGTAATAATGAAACAGGCCAGGTTGTTTGAGTCGTTCAATCTCCAGTCCAGATGAGAGCACCCGATCAAGCAAATCCCAGTCCTCACCGCCCCATTTTGTAGTGAAATCTTTTACATTCATTCCTATAAAGGAAGAAGGAAAAATAGAGTATTGAGAGATATAGAATCATGTTTACATGCAACTAGCCTGTGAAGTATACAGCCATCTCTCTTTGCTCCTTGCCACCATGGACGTTTTGTAGGAGAGACATCTGCGATTCATCCCTCAAAATTCCATACTGACAATGTAGATTTGTCTGGAATCTAGATAAGGAGGCCTGATTGGTCAACCTAGTAATGATTGTATTGCATTGTTTGTACTTTTTGTTAATGAATGGCAGTGATAAGACAACAAGGGTGCATATTTTCACACCTAATCTTGATGGACAATAATCAGAGATTTGGGGTTGACCCAAAAAAAATTTAGAAGGGTTTGTATGGAGTTTTCTAAGCATAGCTGGGCTACGATCTTAGAGACAATTTGCCCCGAAATGCTCATTTTTGGCAAGTAGGCCTCTTGGACATTGTTCTTTCAGAATATCCTGACAAATCCCATAATTTCAAAAATTTCATTTGTATGATGTCATCACTTTAGTACTCTATTACATCCATTTCACCAGAAATTTGATTTGTTACTTTCAACAAGATTTGAAATCTGTTTTGTTGTGCTGTTTTAGTGTTTCTTTTTTTTTGGCTGAGAAAAAGATGCGATTTAGCGCAAAAAATGGTGTGATTCATGAATAAATCACACAGAGCCAATCAGATTGCATGGATCGCCAGTGATTCCAAAGTGGATGTAATAAAGGGGAAAAATCAACCTCATTGATTTCAAAGTCAAAATGTGCTAACAAAACACACCTCTTCCAGAGATAAAGGGTGATTTTGATATCCCGCTCTAGATTCAGACACGAAAAGAAAGCATACCTTGTTGAGTGGCACATACCCCACTGGTACTGCCCATAACTGGGAGTTTCCTCCCCCGAGTGACAACTCTCATACTTACCACCAAATCTGTCCCAGTCAACTTTGAAAACACTTAAAAGTCCATATCCATTTTCTTGCCAAAAACCATGTGGATCATTTGGAAAAAAACCACACTCTAATCTGGCAACTGCGGGAGCATACGCCACCTTGCCCTCAACAGTGTACTGAAAAGACAACAATTTTAATTGTCTTGTTATGAGGCTTTTCAACTCCTAGTCTATGCCAAACATATAAAATAAATCGGTACTCTGTTCCAGAAAACAGAAATGCTGTAGAATAGCAGGTTTTTATAATTATTAGATTTTTGGTGGTTCAGTGATATAGAGATATGAATACTAATATTGCGTTTTTGTGTTTTTTGAAAAAAGAAGTGAAAATTAGGCTTTTGAGTTTTTTTTTTTTTGCTTTAGTTTGGAAATTATCCCATTTCCCCCCATATTGTTTTGATTTCTAGTACAGTTTCTACGCCATTTTTTTATATGCATTGATTTTCATCACTGACACTGATTATTTTATCATTATAATCATAAAACTGAATTTTGATGGTCTGTAACTTATGTAATGCACCTATCAATGTAAATCCCGTGAGGGGGGAGTGCGGGCAAGGGGAGGGGATTTGATGCCTGAGACTATCCCCTTTGTCGGGCTTTTGATCGTGTGAAGCGACCCCGGGGTCGGGACATTTGACTTTGACCGACAGAAGCCTGGTATCAATTCAGAAGCGGTTACCAAGTCTGTCCCTCGAGGCTTTCTGAAAGTCACGCTGTTGGAGAAAGGTGTGAAGCTTTCATTTGTTTTAATCGCCATAATCCGATACTTTAAACTGTCATCCAAACAGATAATGTCTATTTTGTGAAAGTTTTTATCTTCAAGTTCCCATCTAATTGTAAAACTCGATTGAAATCAAATTCCACCATGAAAGTCAGAGGATTTTTTGCGGGTCACCTGATCCGAACTGTTCCGACATGTTGAGCAGATGTTATAAAGCATTGAACATTTCATTAATATTATAATAGCACGGTCAATCTTCCTGGAGGGATTTTGTTGTTCAAAATAAGAGATGCTAGTGGAGAGACAAAATACTCAATTACAGCGAGTAATTTGAGGGAGCTTACGTTGACCTTTAATAAATAAAAGTAGTAAGAACATACTTTTGGAATGTTCTTTTATTCGTTTTTTATGGTATTACAGTATTGTTTATTTAGATTTTTTCCCCTGGGGTGGGGGCTTTTTTTGACACTTTTGATTGACCTTTCGTTTCCCACCCTGGGGAATTTGATCAAAAAATTTCAAAATTTGTCAAATCCCCACCCCTTGCCCGCACTCCCCCCCCACGGGGTTTACATTGATAGGTGCATAAGACTGTCTGTATCATGTCCTGAGACACAACCAGGCATGGTTTACAACACATGGAAGGAGGGGGGGCAGGGGGGGGGTGGTGGATTAATGCAAAAAAGAGAGAGTCCCCAGATTTTAGACCTCCAGAGGTTAGCATCTCTGCTTATCAATAGCGGAGCTCTCTGAAAGTGCAGTGCATGCAGCAGGGAACCAAGGGTATGAAAATTTGGTTATCTATACATCCAAGAAATTGCTTTTAGTTCATACGGACACATATGTCCACTCCTTCATGTTAGCAGATGTGAAATGTCACACTTACACTGTACTGGCTTAAACATGTGGATTTGTTCTCAGTTATCCCAAGTTCAAATCCTCTGCCATGTTTGTAAATAGCCAACTGGTTGCCACCTGCCAGTTGGGCTTTTTAATCCAGTTATGTTCTAATTGGATTATTTTCCTATTAGTTGAGTGGAGTTCCTGTATTCTGCATTATTCCAACATTGTTGCGCCAACAATGTTGGAAGTTGTTGCGTGCTTGTTGGCAGTGGTGTGCAAACGGATGCAACAACTTCCAACAATGTTGGGACCTGCAGTGCATCGTGGGAAGGATACAACCCATAAGTCTTTGGAAACCATGTGTAATGAGCGTGCGTGGCCCCAACAATGTTGGAAGAGCTGTGCAAATGGATCCAACATTGTTGCGCCATGCTTCGGCGATCACGGAACAAAAGAAATGTTGGGAGTTGTTGGCTGAAAAGTTTGACCGGTTTCAAACTTTGCGCAACAACACGTAGCGACATCCAACAACATGCAACAGGGTGTTCAAATGGACGCAACATGTAACATCCAACAATGTTGGGAGTTGTTGGCCAACAATGTTGCGTCCGTTTGCACGGGGCTTAAAGTAGCTGGATAAGTTAAGTGCACTTTTAAACAAACCTTTAACCTTAATAAGCATCTTCAGAACTCACCTTCCTTACACAGTCCAGTAATCCTATTGGAACATCAATGTGGAGATCAAAAAGAAATACTATATCCAAATCATTTGGAACAGCTTTAACACCTTCCTGTAAAGCCAACGTTTTGTAGAAGGGTCCTGTCATCTTAATCAAAGTATATCTGTCTTGTAGTGGCCATGCACTAAAAACTCTCTCAATGTTGATGTCTTCACTTTCAAAATCAATAATGATGACGTGGAAGTTGAAGTCTCCAGTCATCAGGGACATGTTGGCAAGTTGAGATGCAAAGTGATGGACCCATTTCCCCTGATTCTTGACAGGGAGTATAAAGTACACAGTCGCATTTCTCTGCCATTTCATTCCTTCTGGAAAGCAAAGCTCAGTCTGCCCTTTTGGTTGGTATACATACTCTGAAGCACGAAAACTTTGGTTTGATCCAGTTACCCCTAACTGAAGCTCAATGAGAAAACGGTCCCCCTTCTTGGAATCAGAGTTCTGCTCAATATTTAAGATTTTCTGTAAATAGTATTCACTGTAAAAACAAACAGCCTAGTCAGATACAAAGTATGTAGATATTAAAGATGATATCTAACATGCACTTACTAACTAGAAATAATTTCCATAATACCAAGATTTATCCTTTAAGCAAAAAAAACCTCCTGGAAGGGGGGGGGGCATTGGGCCTGGGGGGACTCCCATACAAAAGTGACAGGGGTACTCGTCAAAAAATTCAAATTTAATCCCTAAGGGAGACCAATGTTGGTGTGGCTTAAGCTTATACTGACCCCCTAAGGGAGATTTCTGTGAGGTCAGTGTCAGGGCATTTTTTGTAAATTTCTTTATGCACACTACTAAGCGATACCTGAATGGGCAAATATAGTGACGTTCCATCCCAAACACTATAAGTGAGACCAAAATCTGCAATCTATACCCCAAAGCGAGACGACGAGCATTCCTGTCACTTTTATATGGACGTCCCCCCCTCACCCCCCCCCGGGGGCATTGGGGTCTACATAAAACCAAAAAACTGCACCAAAAATCACAAAAATTTGCCCTTTTATCACAAGAGGAAGGGGGGCATTGGGATTTCAAGTTCCTCAATTTAGGCCATATTTTAGCTCCGTTTTGCACAGAAAACTTTGAGGTAATATTTTTCTGTTTTTTAGCATCTTGTTTTCGAATTGTGGCAAAAATGCAAGGGGTTCTTCGGATTTGATGTCCGTGTTGGTTTTCTGTTTTTTAAGTGCTGCGAGTCACACATAGTGCTGATACTGTGACAATATCAATAATTAATATTAGTGTGAAGACTGACGTAATATTGTTGTAGTCTGCGTGTTCCACATGTCACTGTCACCAATGTTTAAGATCAATATTAGGTTTGTTTGAAATCTTTATTGGTTTCATTTGAATTATTAGGTTGTTTGAAAACATAGGAATAAACCTGTGTAGTTTGACTAGGCAAAAAGAAGGTCAGGTTTAGTTTAAATTATTGTTAGGGAGTTTGAGAAATCAAGCTTTGGGTCATGAACTGATCGTAAGCTTTTTGGATGTCGCTATTTTTTCCAAGTGTTGTTTTCTTCTGGTTTTCTTTTCTTTTACTGATCATTGTTTTAATCTTTTGTAACTCAGCCTGCAATCACAGCCGCGTCTGAAGCATTAGGCCACTTGCACTAAGAGGTCACGTGACCAATGCTTCCTTTAAACAATGAGTTGGAATCTTGCTGACGCCAAAAATTGTTAGAGCACACAAAAATTATCTTACAGCCGAAATTTGAGAGGAAACGCACTTAAGGGAGATATTTTATGGCACTTTGATTTTTCAGCAAAGTAGTATGATTTGTATTGGCCGCCATGTTGGAGGGCATGCTTTTGCCCTCCGACATGGCGGCCAAAACTACTTCTTGCTTATATCTTGTTCAACGTTTCATAGTTATGCTCGGATGTGCTGTAAACGTTATCACATCATCTTTTCAACATTTTCCTTGAAGTTTAAGTGCAAAATTTGTGTTCAGAGAGAGGTAATTCATAATTTTAAAAATCACATTTTGGTCACGTGACCATTTATTTTAAGAAAATTGTGCGGGTTTGAAAAACCAAATGACTATTATTTTGTTTAAGATATGACCCACTAATCATTTTTCGAAGGCAAAATCATGTAACTTTCATTTTCATAAAAACGATGTCACATGCCCCTTAGTGCAAATGGCCTTTTCAACAGCCGAAACATTTTTGGTAGTATAATCACGCTGTTTAGTTAGTTTATGTTATCAACTGCATGGGGCTAATGATGCAGTGAAACACAGAAAAAAAATGATTAATTTTAGAACAATGCAGCGTGTTAAAAAATGTACATTTTTAATTTATCAAATATATCGTTAGTTTAACATAATATTAATCAATAAACAATGTCAAGGTCGGCACACAAGCTATTGTTTCTTGATAAATTACTTGTTAAACAGTACGAGTAATATTGAACAATGTTAACATTTTCAATCTTACCTGTAAAAATTTTGTAAGCTTGTCATAAATTTTTCTACAACGTGGTTTACGGTTTCATTAGCCACTTCTTTGTTCCTCTTCGATCGGGGAACAAACGCTTCGCGAAGATTAGTGTTATCGTCCGGGAAAACAGCAGAATCATGAACTAAATACACTCCTTCGTATCGACTTAAGTTTCTTTTAATAATGTAGCTCGGCTCGTAAGCACACGAAGATAAAATTCCGCTCAAAGTGTCAATTATCGGCAGAGATATGTAGTTGAACTGAGCAATCAAATCCAGTCCTTTATATTCTCGTTGTTTCGCGTGGCTTGGTGTCGACCGAAGCGCCTCAAGACTTTCAGGTGCCACGAAACCACTTCTATTCAAATTTCGATCATCAAAATATGATTGCAAATACTCGCTTGTGATTGATTCAAGTCTCAGCGAGCCTGGTCGTCGCCAAAACACTTTTAGGTGACCATTGCCCTTATCTTGTTTATGTAATGCTTCCACGAAATATTTCTCGCCCGCGATCAAACGAATGTTTCTCGATTGCTGACTTGGATATTTTGAAAAGACCCCATCATCTGTCCAGGCGCTGGACGTCGAAGAAAACACGCTCGCTATAAGACGGAGATTGGATGGTTTTTCGTCGAAACTAAGCCATAATTCAGAAGTATCATCCGAGGAAATTGCAAAGGTATAAAGTCCCGAAACTTTCGGTCGAATAAAACCAAAAATTCTCTGGCCATAATTGTCTACGTTCTGGGTGATTTGAAACCTTCTTAGAAACAATCTTTGATGCGGATGAAGAGGAAAGAGCGGCGTTTCGCGAAGACGATCGATATCCAAGCCGCACAGATCTTTCCAGACGTGCAAATTTAACACACCAGGAATTATCGTTGAATTAAAAGTCGCATTTTGGAGAGGTTCAGTCACTGGCTTGTTCGGGTCGAGATCTTGATTAATTTGTTTGTTTATATCTGGACGTCGTGTTCGCGAAAAAATAAACGTAAAGAATCCAATGAAGACAAGACAAACGTATAAAGGCGCTAACAGTAAAATTCCCGTGTGACACCTTCTACAAACCATTCTGCTCTGTACGTCTCTTTTTTCGATTCCTGTTCGTTTCCCCTATAAATTCCCATGATGAGGAGATGACAGGATTGATCGACGTGAAACGAGAGAGCATCGTGGAATTGCGCATGTATTCCTTGTCACGCAATGTCTACAGCCATTCAATATGCACCACTTTCTAAAATAAATACAGCAGTGTGGTCAATAAAAATGTGGAGAATATAGCCCTGTAAAGAAGTCAATGTTCCGGAAAATAGCCAAGAACAACGACAAATAACCCGACGACATAAATACTCATTGATCCGAAAAGCGGAAGACCCTTCAGCTTGCCATATGTTGATTCTACAAGTGTGGCCTATTACGGCTTGTTATGTATTCACCACTCTCTACAAAATTATCTGACAATTAACTTTTTTTTTATTTACATCAGCATAAAATTAACGTAACTGCAGAATGTAGCTACTTTTGTGTCCCCCAAATGACTTGCCCTTTTTCATTCTTGCTGTTGTTGACCTGGCACAAAATGTTCTTTTTTTTTCTTTGTGAAAGGAAAGAAATAGCTTCGACAATTTCTTTCATGTCTTTTAATATTTGAATATATCATAATTCAATTTGTTTTTCTTTAAATTTTGGATGACTCATCCTATTCGTCAGTGTAACAGTGATTGAGCAGGTTTTAAAACAAATACAACCAGGTGGTATTTTCTGTATCTAATTTATATATTCTGTGGCTTCGTTACACTTAATATTCAGGATATTCAGGATATTCTTCCTTTTTTAAAAAACAAATCACAGTAGACAATTTTTGCAGTCACTATGTAGTTTGTACATGTGTTGGACCAAAACCGCCGGAAACTTTTAAGAATTTGAAGAACTCCAACTACTAGTACTGTTAACTAATCATAAACGTAAAATTTGTTTCATTTACTTTGCGGAATGACGACTGCTGCGTGTGCTTCCCATTTTAATGGCAACATTAAATATGTAGAGCACGAGTAGTCCCCATTTTTCCTCAGGGAAAATAGTCTATTAAATATGTAGAGCTATTACAGAGCTTGTAATATTTTTGTAGTGGCGGCAGACTGTTTGCAGGTGCATAAAAGACTAAATACAGCTGAAATGTTGGACTTCGCGCCGAGAAAGTCAAAGTGGTTTCCTCAGGATTTTTCTTTTCCCTCGTGGAATTTATTTTCGTGTTCTTATACACGCGTACTTTATCATCGTCGAATACGATATAAGAAGTAAATATCCTGAAGAAAACTCGACTGTCAAATAATGTACGAAGTGGAAAACTTTTAGCGGGGAAATCCTGTTTGGTTTAGAATTAATCTCCTCCTCGTTTCTTATCTAATCTCCAGGCAAGCGAGACTTAAACGCTTTTTTAACAGCGTTCTTGTTTTCTATAGCCCCTTGCAAACGGACGCAACATTGTTGGATGTTACATGTTGCGTCCGTTTGCACACCCTGTTGTATGTTGTTGGATGTTGTTGCGTGTTGTTGCGCAAAGTTTGAAACCGGTCAAACTTTTCAGCCAACAACTCCCAACATTTCTTCTGTTCCGTGATCGCCGAAGCGTAGCGCAACAATGTTGGATCCGTTTGCACAGCTCTTCCAACATTGTTGGGGCCACGCACGCTCATTACGCATGGGTTGCAAAGACTTATGAGTTGTATTCTTCCCACGATGCACTGCAGCTCCTAAACTTGTTGGGAGTTGTTGCATCCGTTTGCACACCACTGCCAACACACACACAACAACTCCCAACATTGTTGGCGCAACAATGTTGGGAGTTGTTGCGCCCGTTTGCACGCAGCCTATAGTGCACGTTCGGTGGCCCATGTCTGCAAAACCGTAGTCTGTGGTCATGCCTTCCCTAATTTAAGAACCTTTTCTTAAATTAAGCCAATCTGTTCAAATTTTTAAAAAAGTATTGTAATTAGTAATTAGCTAGCATTGTAATTAGTATTAAGTTGAGTGTTGTAATTAGTTATTATAAATAACGTAATTCTTTTCATTGTTCCTGAAAAGCCCCTTTGGAGAGGTAACAATAAAGTAGGTAACAATAAAATGTGTATGTATATATATCTTTCTTGGGTAAGTTTCTTTTTCTCTCCCTCTCTTATTAAAAAAAAACTGATCGCAGGTTAAAGAAACATAGCAAATGATTTAACTTTTGGGTACGTTTTCATCACGGTAGAGTGGAGTGTCTCCTCTCGGTGCCCTCTTCCCATCACCCCTCGCGCTCCCTTTGGTCAGACTTCTGTTCTCCTAGCCTCCCACGCAGACGTTCTTAGGGTTTCGTCACGCATCACGCGTTCCTGCCCCACCTGCGGCAGGAACGCGTGACGAACCCCTAAGAACGTCTGAGTCAACCTCCTCCCCAGGGTTCTGTGCGTCTGAGTGGGAGGCTACTGTTCTCCCCGTGCGTTCCAAATAAAGACGACTGGGGACGAGTCAGGCTGTCTGGTTCATGCCAGCAGAGCGATTTTCGTATGTTCCTTATTTTGTTTTATCAGTCAATGGATCGTGAAAAGATCAAAACATGGACTCTTTGTTTCCCTGCCAAAGAACACCCCAATATGGAGAAGGCATTTTTCGATTGGCCAATCGTGTTGCAGTATGACGTCAAAGCGAAGTATCGATTGATTTCTAGAAAGTCCTTCGGGCATGAAGTTTTTTCACCCGAGTGTAAAGCTACGCGCGTTTGTATCCGTTCGACAAACCAATCATTCTCGACCCCAGTACTTACGGGTTTGGGAATGTGCTTTTGAATTTCCAGAAGAGCTCTTGGTCGAGATTGCAAACCAGTCAAATTGCTCTATTTCCGTTCGTTTGTTGTGTCTGTTTTGTTCGCTTGTTTTCATTTCCGTGTCATGCGAAAATCGCTCTAACGCGTCCACAGGTAGCCCAAGCTCACTATGGGAGCCCTGAACAACATTATCCTACTTAGCTAATTAATTATTCATACAGCAAGAAAATTATAAGACGTTGTATGGAGAAATATTCTTTGCTCACTAAATTAGCAAAATGTACATTGAATATCGCTTTGAAGCTTACCTTTAGCATCTTCTTGTTTTTCTTTGTATTCTGAGTGCATTTCAGACCTCCTAGGCACTGTTTAAGGCCTTTTTTGGAGCGACAGTTTTTCACCCAGATGACAGTAGAGAGAAGAGAAGAGAAGGTTGGCAAACCTCTCTTGACCGGCTCAGAATACACTCAGAATACAAAGAAAAACAAGAAGATGCTAAAGGTAAGCTTCAAAGCGGTATTCAATGTACATTTTGCTAATTCAGTGAGCAAAGAATATTTCTCCATACAACGTCTTATAATTTTCTTGCTGTATGAATAATTAATTAGCTAAGTAGGATAATGTTGTTCAGAGCTCTCATAGTGAGCTTGGGCTACCTGTGACGCGTCTTCATTTGCGATATAGCGAGCAATTTACCTGAAACTGCAAAATCACAGCTTCATTTTAAACAAATGTCTCTCCAAGAGCATTATATCAAACGTTACAAACACCAAAATTGAATTGTGAAAAACTGTTACGGTTACAGGTTTTCAAAATCGAAATTGCAATCCTTTTTAATGTCTTTAATCGTCTCTAACTTTGCCCATCCTCAACTTATTTTGTATTTGCTGTGTTATTTATACCTTCGTTTAATGTTTTGAGCCGATATTTTTATGTTTCACTCTAATTTGGTGGCAGCTCTCACTGCTTGAAGTTTGATAAATTTCGTGACACAACTCCTTTAGAAAAGTAATAACCTTTTAAAAGAAGTTCTGGGCCCAGTTGCTCGAAGGCCAATTAGCGCTTAACCCGGTGTTAAATTTAACCTGGGTTTCTTGTTCTCGGTTCAAAAGCATTTTCTTGGATAATTTCTCTGTTATTTTTAGAGCTTCCAATCATCAACGTGGAGATAAAAAGGATTAAAACTGAAATGCTTTTTAAGCTTTCAAATCTGAATTCAAATCTTGCACTAACCCTGGGTTATCTTAACCCAGCTTTGAACAACTCGGCCCTGACATTTTAACTCTCCAAACTTAAGAAGAGTGTCTGAGTGGGAGTACCTTGATAACACTAAACACTTCATTTTTGGGCTTTGTAACATGAAGCAGTTAAATTTTAGGCATTTTAACACTAAAATGCAGTCATAATTTGAAACTGTAACAGCTCCAAAAAGGCCAATATTATTTTGTTTAGTATATCAAGGCGTTTTTGACCATTTTACGACAATTCCGCATTATTTCAGAAGATTTCCGAAGGCTCCCGAAGATTCTTGAAGACTGTCGAAGATTTCCGAAACAAACGAAGTGGTCCGACCATTGCCGAAGATATCCGAAGAACCGGCTCCAAATACTTAACGGTATTTTCTTTGGAAATAGTAAACATTAAAAAATTGGCCAATTTGGCAGCAAATAACACTAAACGCTAAACCCCTTTCAGACCAACCTAAATTGATCCACTTTTTCTACACTAGGTAGAAATAACATTCTCAAGCCTTTAAGTTTAGTTTGACAGAGAAACTTAAGGCCGCGTGCTCTCGATTTGCTGGGAACAAAAAAAAAAATGAGAGACTGTTCGCAGTCTAAAAAAATATTTTTAAACAAATAAACGAATGAAAAATTAGTTTTCTTTCAGTTGAAACATTCTTCTCAACGGTTGGTAGTTGCTAAGAGCCCAGGAACACGTTGCTTTATAAAGTTCAAGTCTACCTCGAAGTTTCCTTTTCCGGCAGTAGTCAATCCACCCTTGTACAACAATGGCGAGAAAAGAAACAAATTATATTTTTGCGCTCGCTTCTGTTACTTTACTTTTGTGTTGTATCGAGGCCCTCGGAAAGCCAGCTCTAAACGGTAAGTTAGACGTTAAAGAACCAGCACATTCGGTACGATTTTTGGTAACATTTACACGGCCATGAAGTACGAATTTGAATTTGTACATCAAGTGCATAATTCCTCTCGCATCATTCGTATATCAAATCGCTGGTGACTGCAGTGAGCGACACTGAGCAAAACGCTTAAATTGTGACATTCATCTTCTGTTTGAAAACGCTAGAAATACGGATCTATCACATTTACCGTAACAGACAGTATATGAATCTTTCTACAGTAATTGTAAGCTCATGAATTGGTCTATTTTTTGTGTCTGTTGCTCTTTTATCGACTGTTGCTTGTAGACTCAGTAACCTGTTTTGTCTTCTCTGTGAAACTATATTTAGTAGATTTTGCAATTTGGCGTTGAATTGTCATTGTGATCGGAGCGATCACCATTTTCAGTAGGTAAGATTGTAAGAGGGTCACCTAGCAACCATAAGCTTAGTTTTTACATTAAAATGCTTTTAGATTAGCCTCCTTCGCAAGCATCACTGTCCGTCCTGTTTAAGAGAACGGAGGGGAAAATGGGGAGAGAACCGAGTGGTCCGAGTGACTCCTCCGACAATCAAAGCTTGGTAGGTACTTCAGATATGATTCCTATAGTGTACCGAGATATAGATTCTATGGGAATCATGTATGAAATACCTACCCAAAGCTGGCGTTGCCCGGCTGACCGAAAAGCCCGACGACTCTGGGTATGAGATTGCTCCTCCTCCAACTCCTCCTCTTTCCTCTCGTTTCTTGTTCTCAGACTCCATACGGTCATAACTGTTACAAAAGGAATTGTCTGCGGAGGAGGCAACTGTTAGCCAGTCATTTCTTGCTATCTTTCTCTTAGTTCTGTAAACATGAGGAGTAATTCTACTTAACTTAACTTTTTATTTCTCAAAGAGGAAAACAGAAACTTGTGCGAGTCGGAACCAGATAAAGCTGAATGCATCCGGGAAGTAGAAGAAGCAAAGGGGACAGAACAAGTTGACGGCGACCATCAGCAAGGTATGAACTGACTATTAACGTCTCTGATAATGCGTTGTTAGCCTGCGTTGGGGGCGATTTCAGTGGCGGATCAAGACCTTCAGGTAAGGGGGGTGGTCATCCAGATCCTGAGATAAGGGGGGGGGGGGCAGTCTCCCAAAAAAAAATTTTTTCGGCCCTCCGGGCCTCAGTTTAGTCTAGAAATAACGGGGGTTCTCCCGGGCCCCTCCCCTGGATTCGCCACTAGATTTTGTTAGGGAGGGGAAGGAGAGGGACAAATTCTTGCAAGGATCACTTGGACAAACAGTAGCGAGGCAAAGCCGGATCTTGGCGTAGGTGATCAGGATTAGCCGAATATAGAATATTACCTAAAATTGAAGGCAAGGCTGATCGAACAGCTATGGATGGCTAATTTACCGGCCCATTATTTCGACCAGACAAAACTAGCCTTTGTCAGGGACTAGAAAAGTAGCCTAGGTTTAGCCGCACCCTCCGTCTCTCCGTTTTTCCTTTGTCGAGGGGAGGGTGCGGCTACACGTAGGCTACTAGAAAAGCTAAGGAGAGGGAGCCTGGAAACGAAAGTGGGAACAATAGGGAGCTTATACAACGACGATAACGACGACGGTGGCGAAAACTTCTGTGAGTCATTCACACTGTTTCAAAATTCATCGCTTTCGATCCATGTCGTTCAATTTGCCAGATATATGGGTGAATTTTTCTGGAGTTGAATTCCTGAAGAACTGTATCCAAGGTTTTAAAAAGAAAGTAAGAAAATCCTCGACTTGAGTTCACGTCGTTAACAAAACGTGAAATAGAACAGTTTCACGTCGTGGTAGTGAAATGCAAAGTTTTCTTTTTTCTTATTAAACCTATTGCTTTCTTTGTCGATCTCGTTGCCGTCGTCGTTTCTTTAGCTCCCTGCTATCAGTCTGGGCCATTAGCTGAGCGTGCACAGGACCATGGGAAGAGGTAAAAGGCAGGAGCTTCCTCAAGCTTCTCTCTTTAACTAGTATCCAGTTCGCCGCGGATCTTAGATAATGGTTACTCGGAAGACGTCTCTGCGAAAAGGCGGAGCCTTACACAATACTACTACACTTAGAAAATCTTTACAAAGACCATTGAAAAGCACTTCAAAGCCACACAAAGTGGAAAATAAGCTCAACTAGTACTTGTAGTTTTCTGAGTTATTTTCGTCTTTTTTATTGAGTACTGAGCCCGGCGATCAGCGCCTTGCTGAGTGGCCTGCGAGCAAGCTCTTCCGTTTTGGGGGGAGTCGCGCCTGAGAGCAGCACGCGCTACCGACGGAGTGAATCAAACTTAAATTTTGTAAAAGCGCTATTCGACAAAACAATCACATGATCAAATAAAGTCAGTAACGACAAAATTCACTGATATAGTTTATGTCTCGAAACGTTTTAATTTTATTTTCAACTGTTTGAAAAACCCTTTATATCACGTTTAGAGGAGGTAGGTTTAGTCCAGATAAACACAGTCCGCAACACAAATAACAAATCTTAAGCTTCTGGTGTCAAGCGCTTTAAGCTCAAAAGGCCTGCTGACCAATCTCTGTAAGGGATTCTGATAAAACACAGTCCGGAACAGAAATAAAGAATCGTAAGCGTTTTAAGCTCTCTTCAGGGGATTCTGACACCAAGCAGATAATGCAAAAACTTGTCAGTTGTACAGAGACAAATTGTAATGAATGATGAACTGCTTAGATACACGCGCACGTCACGTGATATAAGGGTCCTTTGTCACTTTTACTTGTCAAATAAATTAGAAATAGTTCAGTTTTGAAAAATAAATTACAATTATTTCCGAATTATTAGGTTTCCTTTAGGCTCAACCTCCAATCATCCGCTTATTATGGCAAAGACCTTTTATGAAATCAGACTCTTCCCTTATGCAATTGCACAGAGAACATTTTGAAACCTCTAGTAACGTGAAGTAGTTGCTAAGAACATTTGTCGTAAACCAACATCGCCTTCAGTAACAAAGAGACAACCTGCATTTCATAAGAATTAAGTTTCCTAGACTAATATTTTGTTTATTGCGTCCATCGCATTTTTGTCGGTTTTAGTCATGTTTTATTTCAGTCTTAGGTAGTGTCAACTTCGGTTTTTATTCTTTACGACGATCGTTGTAAAAGATCATATTTATCAGTGGTTATGTTTGATCCTCTTAGAGGTTTCTTCAGTCACGCTGAATATTGGAGATTATTATCTATAACACACTTGAATGACGACTTTTATTATGCTATTTTGGAATATATATTGGAGTTTTAATTGGATATTGAAAGTACTTGCCCAAAAAAATCTCCAATTTGAGCAGGGCAACGGGAATCAGTGAAACGTCATTGCTTTGGGCCAGTTGGCAAGCATGAGTTTATGATTAAGAACTTGCGCTTTGTTTATTTTTCTTTCCATTAACTTATTCCTATTCCCAGAGAAGCGCCTTTTTCTTCCATTTTTTCTTTATCACTGACTGAAATCGGTCAGTCAACTTAGGAGCAAGTGGCTTATCCATTTCCCATGGATCGAAGCTTTGATTAATCGAACAACTGATCTGTATAGTCTTGTCCAGATCGCAATCATTTAAATTTGATTTGTTGTTCTCGAATCTGTTGCGAAAGCCACTCCAATCCCTCGTAAAGCCCCTTCCCTTTCAGCGCGCACGTGGCCTGTATATACCATCTTCTCCCTTTCAGGGTATGCAGCCCTAACTTCTCGCTCAGTTCCGCGGTAGACATTGCATTGGGTAGATCCTGTTTATTTGCAAAGATCAAAAGGACAGCTTCTTGTAATTCGTCTTCGGCCAGCAGTTTAAACAGTTCATTTTTCGCCTCATCCACGCGATTCCTATCGCTGCTATCCACAACGAAAATAAGTCCCTGAGTTTCTTGATAGTAAAGACGCCACAAAACGCGGATCTTATCCTGTCCGCCGATATCCCAGACCGTAAAACTGATGTTTTTGTATTCCACAGTCTCCACATTAAACCCTATTGTCGGGATCGTTGTAATTGGCTCATCTAGTTTCAGCTGATACAAGATGGTTGTTTTTCCTGCTGCATCTAAACCTACCATCAATATACGCACTTCTTCCTTGCCAAACAAGCGTTTAAACAGCCTGATGAGGGTATTACCCATGATTGTTGAATTTTTCCTCCTGAACGGTCCGATCAGACTTCCCTATTTCACGCATCAGTTAAAAATGTGTGATGATCAATATTTCATAAGTGACCTGCAATGGTGCGATTTTCTTCTCCTTAATGCGCATGCACCAAATGGCATACCTGTAAGAGGGCTTGATTTCCTCAGCGACCCTTTTAAAACCGATACTCACGCTGACGACACTTATTGATATTAGAGATGATAAGCATCACGTTTACGCCAAACGGCAAACATAAATTTGCAGCACGTGACCAAGTTCCTCCTTTACATGTCGTTTACTCTTCATTATTTCTTCACATAAATAATTGGTTTCACGCAATTTCTTATCCACAACAATTTTTTGAGCTGTTTTTATCTGCCCTTTTTCTTGAGAATTTCTCAACTTGAATTGAATCTGACCTCTGTTGTTTGCCGAATACGTGAAGCATCCCTTAATTAATTTTCCAACCAGAAGCGCATTGGTTCTTGTGTCCAGGGAAAACTTACTCGCAGGCTACGTAGTAATTTAATAGTAAATCCTCGTTTTTAAGGAATCTTTTGTCCACGGCGTGTTTTCCTTCAGCTTAGCTGGCAGGAACTCGGCGCGAAGATTAAACACGGACGCGTTGCAGCTGATTTAAAACTGACAGCTTACATGTAGGATAGATAGATCTCCTTGACTGTTTGAAACCTTGATTGCTAAACAAAGCCGAATACAAATTTATCATTCAATTCAAACAAGAAAGGATATCCTCTTTTGTTTCAAACTGTTGACTAGTTTCCTCGGAAACTTAATTAACCAAACGTGTTTAACAAAGCAGTTATTAATACTAATCTTTTGATCGACAGGTGATTCGCTAGTGAATTGTGACATCGTAAGTGTCAAATTTACGACATTTATTTTAGTTTAGCCTTCGTTACTTAGTAGTCAGCTAGCCATTAAATGCCATAAAAGTGTGAAAACGTGCACCGTTGAACTCGAAGAAACGTTTTTTAATATCCTTTTCTCCCGCCAAGTTGCTTGAGGTCATTGAAGGACAACCAAAATCAAACACAGGCTTAAAAGTAGTTACCGCGCTTGGAAACATTAACTCCTGTCGCTGGACTATCGCTTGTGCGAAACTCGAACTTGGTAACTTCTCTCAGAGGGTATCTGCTTTTTTAGCTTACTTTGTCATAACTTAGTATTTGTCACTAAAAACAATATTAAACGTCAGAATTAGTCAGAAATCTAGTTATGTCTTGGTTCTTGTAAAGATTCCCCTTGAAATAGAGCTAAATAGATTTGGGGTTCATAAATTCAACTTCATGATCAAATCTGTCCAGATTCGTTATTCTTGTAATTGGAGGACTAGCAGCTTTCCTCGATAGGTTTTCCTTGGTTGTTTTAATTGGGAGAAAATGTGATAATTTTTTGTTTTGCTTGTAAAATACTGCGTTTAAATGTCTCTTAAAATACCGTAAAACAATAAACAAGAAGACGACGATTCGTCGACGTTGACTCAACAGACCTGAGTATCGAGTCAAAACATAACGGCTGGTAACAAATAAGTACCAAATTTAAGAAATAAATAAATAAATAAATAACACTTAATTAAAACCATTAAAGTGTCAAAAATCTTTTTTTCAAAGAAAGAGCTTAGCACCGATGATATTGGCCTGGATGTTTTTGTGTTCTTTTATGGAGAGCATCTCGTAGCTAGATGAGGCATTCAAAATTTCTTGATCCTGGGCACTTTCGAAGAATTCGAACTTGGCTTTTATTTTTCTTCGAGGAGAAAGAATTGCCTTATTTTCCATTGACACTACCAAGGAAAAACTTTTAAGGATAATTTAGAATTTTGTTTGTTTTACAGGTGAAGAATCCAATGGAGGAGATGACGGATACACTATGGAGGAATACTTAGCAAAGATGGATAAAGTTCGAAGAGAATCGGAAGAAAACAGAAAATTTTGGAAAGAAGAATTACGCTCAATGAACAAATGGGAAAAATACGGTCTTGGTTAAAACAAAAGGTGAAAATAGACAAATAGACACAGCGATCAATTACATTCACCAAATTTCATTCGATGCCGCTAAGTTTTGTTTTCCTTCACCTTAATCTTAAAGTTGTGTCAAGAAAATGTCGTCGAAATTTTCTGTGATTCCTCAAGCCTGGTTTTGCACTAGTGACGGAAGCATATTGCATTGCAAGCACAACTGGAACGAAGCTGAGCCTTAAATCGCTCGTTCCAGCTTCATTCATGCTACCATTTTGGAACAAAACAGAACAAAATGGAGGATCGATGATAATTTAAACTCCAAAGTTTTGAAAAAAGAAAGTTTTATAAACAGAAGAGAACTAGGGATTTAAAAGTGTTCTCTTGGCACTTGTATGTGTGCTTACGTTGCTAAAAAGATGGTCCCTAGTGAAAACCAGGCTAAAGATTTGTGAAGACCAACTTCGACGATTTCAAATGTACATTGTGGATGACAATTTGATGATTTTTCTAAATTTAATCATTTGTGTTTTTCTTAAGTCAAGAAATAAAGCAAAACAATATTTTGTGAGGAGTATCTTATAAATCTTTTTAACCCGTGGAAAGAAACATTATTAGGCTACTGAAGTGGTAAGTGAAATAGCCACCACACCCTTCCACTCTTCTCCACGCCATTCCGCCCTCCTGTTGATCGGTTGGTTGATCGGCTCGCCCGTCGATTTTGCTATCACAGGCACCCCAAGCTAGCAGGTTCATAATCTGGGGTATCTGCCACGATTTTGCTTGGCCCGTTAGCTTTTGTTTTCAGGGTGGTCAATGAGGGAACATTGGAATGCCTCTCACCAGAGGGGGTGGAGGTACAAGGGCCCCCCATGCCGCCCCCCCCCCCCCACCCCCCCTTGCAGCGCCCCTGGCCGGTTTAGAGGGTAAATGAAAAAAGCTGAATAACGGCAGGACCAAACCGCAGGTAACCATTTTGGAGAGGTGTCTGTAAAGAGAAAGCTAACTGTATTCCGATCCAAAGGGACCAATTACAACAGGAAGGTGTGGGCGTGACCGGAAGCGTGACCGGAAGCGGAAGTAGATCGTGGAAGTCGAAATTTCTTCCAAAAATGTAACACAATGTCCACAAAAGTAGAAAGATAAGATCAAAAAAGGGAACACAAGAATTTACAGGTCATTCACTGACTCAAAAATGTCATGTAGTTTGTTCCATACGGTGTACTTGTAAGACTTCATATTACGTGAAAGAAATATGAGAAGTCAAGACAGGCTGGTAGTTGATTTTAGAGTGTATAGCAAACACAGGCCGTATATCATGTCGCGTGACATTTTCTTTCATAACAGATGGCCATGTGGTCATTATTGATTACTATTCTGTCGATCCGAACAGCTCAAGTTTGTTGTGCTTCCTCTTTGCCTGTAACCACCGTTTTTTGCACTCCTTGTAAGCACTGAAATAGTCTTCGCACTTGCTGTGGTCGAAATTATTGTCAGTCAAGCACTTGTAAGAGGCCTCCATAGCTTCAGAACATGGAAATCCATCGAAAAATCTGTGTGCGTTCGGGTCCATTCCAGGGGTATGGCCTTTTGGACGACTCATCTTCTACGTTGCAGAACAAAGTAATCTGTGTGTATTTATCAAGTTAATTGGGGTATTTGTTGAATAAAACATATACAGCTCTTCGACAAACAACACAGTTTTGTCATCGAGATTGCGTGACTACAGAATACGTGACAAATCTGCAATAGAAAAGCGGATTTCGAGCTAAAGTCATGCGTTTCAGTATCTAGACTGGTTTCCCGCCAAAAAATTAAAATGTGGTAGTGTTCGCGATTGTATTCACGTTTTGAGTCGTAAACAGACATTTCCTTTTCTTTCGATGGCTGACTGAAAAAAAACTTGGGTTGCTGTTAAAATCCTTAAAAGCATGGTTCTTCTAAATAGTGGCAAGAGGAAGAAAGGAGACGGGGAGCAAGGCGATGATAGCGATTCACGCTCGCGATCCAGGTAACAGGCGCCATCTTGGATTTGTTCTGCGATGGTCAACTTTGTGTATTGTGCAAACCTTTGAAAACAAGACGCTCGACTTCTCAAAATAGAAAAAATGAAAGGATCAAGAACAATTAAATTGAAAATTTTTGTTTATCTGTTACTTAATTTCTAGTAACTTTCTCGTAGGCCTGATGAAGGCGCGTCAACGGAGGCTAGATTGAATAGGATTCAATCTAATGACGTTCTTGACGTTAAGTACGGCTTTGATCGCTACAAGGAGTCAGTGGAGAGGCTAGGATGGCTGATGAATATGCACCCAGTAAGTTAACTGTCTACTTTTGTAAGTACCCAGTTTACCCAGTAAGTTAACTGTCTACTTTTTCGTACAAATGTACGAAAAAACGTACATCACTATGGAGTTCATGGACCCGTATGTTTCTTTCTGTTGTAATGAGAAGATTGATCTTGATCATCATTAAACTTAAATCTTTTTAACAATTATTCCTCGAGCCGGAATGGGCTCCGAGTCAATAGCCCATGATACCGAAGGCCGAATGGGCTATTGACTCAGAGGCCATGAGGGCGAGAGGAATAATTGTTTTAGTAAAATCCAACAAGTTGGTCAAAAATATCAAGGCAAACAAACTTTAGCTAGTTAAATATAGACTTTAATCATTCGTTTCCCGCCACATTGCCGGCGCTTTTCGCTACTAGTGGGCTATAACAGATAGCCTAGTAGTAGCTCAACCAATCAGAATGCAGCATTGATAGTTGACCATTAGTTGGATTTTACTAAAATAACAATACTCCTAAAACAGCATAAATATGCTAGGAGTGTTAAAAGACCAAAGAGGATATCTACAAAAAGTTACTGCAGACTTACCAAGGTATATTTTTCTATTTTCAGACAGAAATTATTGATGATGACAGGAAGTTGATCAGTGCTGTTGACCTTTACTTTATTCAGGATGATGGAGGGCGCTTTAGGGTATGATAACAACAAATTGCACATGAGATCAGGCGCCAGTTCGTGGAAAACCCATCAGTGCTAACCCAGGATTAAACACTGCTAATCACATGATAAATTTTATCCTACGATTAGATTTGGTTCCTGGAAGCATGATTAATCGGAATCTAGGAATAAGCTGCGTGTTCAATTTAACCCACCTTGTGAGGTCAATTAAAATGTTAATCAGGTAACAAGTTTGTCAAACAAACAAAATGGCGGACTTACCGTACCCTTTATTGGTTCACAAATATGCGAAAGAAAGTTCCAACAGCAAGAAATTGGTCTCCACCGATTCACTGACAGAGAACTTTGCAGCAGATTTAGGTTTGGCCAAGTGTCAATAAAATAATTATCTGGTAGAAATCGTCCAAGAAAACCTTTCCAGCAACTAGGACCAGAGCCTTTTTTATTTTGCGTGGCAAATATAACCCACGTGAAAGGAGTTAAGAGCACTGCTAAAAGTCAGGGTTAACAGTAATAATCAGAGTTCCATTGCTGGCCAAATTTTTTTCCTCGTTAAGTTACACAGAGAGATCTGCATGGAGAGATTTCAGATTAATTAGATTAATAAAATCAGGATCAGTTTGGGAAAATATGATCGTTAATAGAGTAGTTTCCATGGACTCCATTTCAATATGTGTTCTCTTTTTAATTTTTTGTCCTTTAGGTGGCCTTACCTTACAAGCCTTATTTTTACATCCTTGCAAAGAAGGTAAGCTTCTCTCCGGTCTTTTATAATCACATGGAAGTACTAGTGTTATGCACCTGTCTGTGTCTAGCCACAGTGGGAAAGGGTAGGGGTACATGGGCAACTGTTTTCAAAGCTATACTAATGTGCATAGCAGGCACTTACAAGTAATTTGGATACAAGATAAAACAGGGCGTGTTCTAAGGGGTTTGTCACACGTTCCTGTCCCATGAATGCCTGCTGAAACAAGCGGTTAATTCCTTTCCCATTGTTTGCAAGTATCAGCTGGAGCTCATGTGCAGATTGTTGGAGAACCAATTGGCACTATTGAGGTCAAAGTGTTGAGAAGCCAAACATGACCTACAAGCTCAGCAGAGTCATAGGTCGTATATAGTATTTCATAATATGATTCCTAACACCGGGAGCTGTTTTATCATGTTACAGGACACCGATCGTGAAGTTGCAACTTTTTTGAACAGAAAGTTTGGTGGATTGATAGCAAGCATTGAAACTGTAGCTAAAGAAGATCTAGACTTGGTAAGTATTTAGGTTTGGTGATTCAATTTTATCCTTGGAGGTTAGCACCCTGTAACATCTGCAGAGTTCCTCATATCATACAAAACTCATCTGTCCTTGAAACTCATTAACAATAGTTGGGTGTGGGGAAGGTGCCTGAAGAAGCGGAAGGGGGCAGCAAGCGATCTTAGAAGGTAACCATGACAACCCTGAGAGCGGCACCCACCAGGCACCGTCACACTGAGAACCTCAGTGGAAAGGGGCGCAGATACTTACCAAAACAGTATCCAGAGAGGAGGAAGGGTTGGGGGAAAAAACAACTATAACTACTGCATGCACAAGCAACGTGAGCAAAATGATTGACTCCTGCGAAAGTGCTGTAAAATAACTTAGGCCCTGCTAAACCCCCACACTGCCTATATACGATTAGTGGTGGAGACCACTGGCCAGCATTGTCTCGTGTTTAACCTTGCCTAAATTACATTTAGCCACATATAAAGCGCAAATTTATTTGAACAAAATAATGTATTTACAAGAGAAAAGAGAAACTCCCACAGGATTGACTTGGTACAACAATATGGCTGCTATGATTTCATCTGAAAATGCTCTATAAGTTGTTAATTGTTGGATGTCTAGTATTATTGGATTCTAGGAATTGATGGAATTCTTCGAAACAATTTTGGTCAGCATAGATGCATTATGAAAAAAAAGTAGACAGGAAATTTGAGAAATGGAGAAACATTTCAAATGGATGGAAAAGTTAATAATATTTTTATGGAACCAAATTTTTCTTTGTTGTTTAATGTGGTATACTTTTTTCTTTAATTTTTAGAACAATCACCTTGTGGGACTAAAGAGAGACTATATAAAGCTGTCATTTTTGACTGTGAATGACTTGATGAAAGTCAAGAGGTATGTTTGAAATGTAATTCGTGTTATTGTCCATAACGTAGAATCTCGCTGTCAGGTCAATGCGGTTTTTTCTATCAAGAACAGTAAACTTATGCAATGTAACGGGATGGGAGACAGAAGAAGATGGAAGACCTTGCTTGACAAAGCATGACAATAATTATGTTTGTGGGAAGTTTTTGGCCTTACCAGCCCAATCCAGTGCAGTATACTCCACTGGGGGGAGTAGTTTGGGCTCAGGGACACTTTTGTCACATTAGGAATTTTAACAGCATACTGATCACTTTTACTTCAACCTGGAGAGTTGTCTTTTCTTCGGGCTTAAATTTAATACAGCATAGGAATCACGACATTAATTTACAATAACATAGAAATGTCAAATTAAATGTTTTTAAGGGATTAGTGCAAGCTAGGAGACACTTTTGATCCTGTTGTTTTTTGTTTTTTTGCACAGTGACCTGGACTGTGCCTAGTGGAATATCTTTCTTTGCATAAGCAAATGTAGAAATGAATCAATAAAAGTAAAAAGGTTGCAAATTTCTTTACTGTTGTCTTTTCTCAAGGGAAATCATGCCAGCTGTAAGAAAGAACAAGGAACAGGCCAAGACCAATGCAGCGTACAACATTGTAATGGGCACTGATATGAACGAGGAAGAAATGACTGCCGCTAACAGAAGAAATGCTGATCAGATGTCTAATGTTATTGACATCAGGTAACCAGGATTTCTGAGTATGACAAAAATTTAAAAAATCACCTTACTTACTCAAGTAATTTTCAACCTAAAATCGGCGACAAAATTGTTGAGACATTGCACTCAAATAGGGTAACTTCAGAGAACAAAAGAGTTCACACCCCTCCCCCCTCCCCTCCATTCAAAGTTGGGTTGTTTGTTGTTTTCCATCGGTAGCTTGAACAGCGGCACAACATTGCATGGACGGGATGGGGGAGGAAAAGCTTTATTTTCCCCTTTTGAAGTCAGTAAAACATCCAAAAGCCCCATTTTGGCGAAGTATCTCAACTGATTTTGTCGCCCGTTGTAGGCTGGTTACCAGTTTCCTTGGTCTCCTAGCCCTAATATTATTATTCATGAAGGAAATTGAGAATCAACCTAGGTTAAAAAATTTACCTGAATTAAATTTTGACCTGTAACATATGGAGGATATTACATGGCCGCGCGGAGATATGAAATTTCTCTTCGAGTGTTGAAAAATATTTCATGAGTGAGCGCAGCAAACGAGTGAAATATTTTTTCAACACAAGAAGAGAAATTTTGTATCTCCAAGCTGCCATGTAATGTTCCATTATAAACACCAATGAAATACCAAACCATTTCACTTTAACAGTTTTTTGTGTGAAAGGCATGATTTATCATGTAGCCATAACAACGGTGATATTTTCACATGTGAAGATATCAAGTTTTTGCGCAAAAGCTCACCTGGTATTTCATTGGTGTTTATATAATAAATAGCAGTATGTTTGGTGAC